GTGGTTCGCTGGAGTCCCAAAGCCTTAGAAATGGCTTTATAACCCTTTCCAGACTGATACATGTCAACTATTTTGTTTCTCATCTGTTCTTGAATTTCTTTAGATCGCGGCATGATGTGTTGCTCTTTAAGCATGCTTCACTTTGTCAGACAGGTTCTATTTAAGTTATTTCTTGATTCAATAAGTCTGGCAGTAATCAGGCCTGGGTGTGGCTAGTGAAATGTAATAAAATAATGTGGTTAATCACAGTTCTTTCATGATTTAACAGGAGGGGGCAATTAATTTTTCATGTAGCTTTTTTCCCTTAATAAATTAAATTATAATTTAAAAACTGCATTTTGTATTTACTTGCATTATCTTTGTGTGATATTAAAATTTGTTTGATGATCTGAATCTTTTAAGTGTGACAAATATGCAAAAAATAAAAATAAAAAACAGGAAGGGGGCAAAAACCTTTTCACGGCACTGTATGTGTTTTTATATGTACCATATTTTTAAATATACTGCAAAATACATTATCAAGCTAAGTGAGAAATATTTATGTCTGAATTTTCTCAATTTACTTCTCACAAAATTAATTTTGGACCCTGGAAAAAAGTATTTAAAGAATAAAAGTTTTACATTTCTTTTACTACTGGAATCATGCTTCTGATATAGTTGGTGTTTATTCTCCTCTGTTGTCCTCTATGGACCAATTCTGAGCCTATGATTTAAACTAGGGAGTCTTAGATGCCTCTGCCCTACCCCTCTGCATCAAAGTTCAAATGTTAGTTAAGAATTAATTTACATATCTAGTGTAAATTAAAATTATATAGCTCATTGTACAACAGGAAGCCATCTGGACTCTTTGTAACCAAAGATAAGGACAGTTTTAATGAGTAGACGCTAGAAATGATGGACCATAGCCGTATTGTGGTGGAGAATTTGGGACTTAAATTTGAATCCACATCTAAAGCCTGATTTCTCCACATGTCTTTGCGCTCCGTGGGAAATTCCTGTCCTCAGATGTTTCCGATTTAGAATCCAATCGCTGTTTCCCTCCACCTCTCTTCACATTCAAATCTCCCCCATTTGCTCCTTTTTGAAAGTCCCATCAGATACGAGGTGATGTGTGTCTGTGCAAAAAGACCCTTATCATGCAGTTTTAACCAGCTTCTGTCACTCACCCGTTCCTGGGATTAGAAGACAATTACGGCTATCTTTCACGATAATCATGCAAGTGCTTATCCCGGTCCCAGCCAAGCTGGAGCTTGGCCGGCATGATTGATTTGGGCAATTTGTTCAGCTGATTACATGCTGCACAGAACCCAGCATCAGGCCCGCTCCCCGCTCTCCTTCAGTTGTTTATTCATTATTTATTTCTCTCCGTCATGTAAAAACGGGCCTCTGATCCTCTATCGCTCTTTCTGCTTATTAGTGTCAATGAGAAAGGTCAGCAATAACCTTAAAGGAATGTTTAATGATGACCCCGACCCTAGTCGGGACATATGAAAGTGTCTTTTAACCTATTATCTGTGATATATTGTGCAATGTATGTCAGTGTCGCTGTCTAACCGATCTCTCTCCACTCAGTCCTCCATGCCAGCTTTTGGGAAGAGTCTCGGTCTGGTAAACTCCAGTCCATCCTTCCTTCCAGACCTTCTCCCTTTATCCATATTCTCACATACTTCCCTATACCTCCACCTCCACTGCAAACAAATCTCTCTTTTCTCACACGACTAACCTCACAGAAGCTCCATCACTAACTTACAGACTGGCATTGCACCAATCACAAGTGTGTGTAGCTAAGAGTGGACTGGCACTGTGTTTCATCGAAGTGTCTTTTATATAACCATACGTACTTCCCTGCATTGCCCCACAGCCACCATGCGTTTCAGTGGCTTCCTGCACCTGGATAAGGTAGAGGGTCAGGAGGTCTTCTACACGCCTGAGATGGAAGACCCCAAGTCAGAGCTGTTCGGCGAAACGGCTCGGAGCATCGAAAGTGCTGTGAGTTATGCTTGAGTTCACTTTAAGTTCAGCTTTGAAAAGAAGTTCAGATTTCGGTTACAGTTTCATTTTATAAAAACAACTACAAAAACTACATAAAGTTTATGCTGCTTTAGTGATGCTTTATTTTTCAGTTGTGTGGCAGTAGCTCAGTTGTTTCAAAACACTGTAGTTGTTCTAATAACTGACTTGATTGAAGATTAGCTTCTTGTTTATCACAGATTCTTTTCTTGTTTGTTTCAACCCTTTACTACTTTTCTCTTCAAGTTGGCCCCTTGGGAATTAATGCGGAATGCATTGTGATAATTGATGGAATTATCCAACGAAACAGGTTGAATATGCCTTTTGAAAAAATATGTGTCTGGTGATCTGTCAGTGTCTGGAAAGCAGAGCAGTAACATAAAAATAAAATACAGACACTTGATTTTGAAGTTTGTGATCAACACAAATCCTATTTTAGCAACCAGCGCTCAAAACTGTTCAGATGCTAAATATAGTCTGCTAGCACTAGTCACGATACCAACATGTCAGTAACGCATACCAATTCTAGTGAAAATTCATTATTTGATACTAATTTGAAGAGTGCAGCAAAAACTAATATGCTGTTTAATTTTCACTGTAGAATATTAGTTAAATATAAAGAAATTAAATCAATTAAACATTTTTAACAATCAAATCTTAATTTATAATAATCAAATTTTAACAGTTAAATTCACTGACGGTTTTTCTTTTTTTCTTGTTAATATATATTTTTAAAGAAAATATTTTTTGTTAAAGACAAAAAAGCAGGAATGGAATATAGGAACAATACAATCAAATAAGTTAAATAAACAAACATTTGGACCAAGATGTGCATTTGATACATCACTGCAAGTTTAATAACCTTTTTGTCAGTATTATTCATTTATATATTTGGTTTGTTAGTTTATTTTGGTTTAGTTTTATTTAATTTCCAAAAAGCGATTATTTATCATTTGTAGTTGTAGTTCACGGTTTCAACACTGGCTGGTATCTTGGCCTCAACTCACCGATACTTTTGACATACTGATAGCCTAGCTTCCTTCACTGAGTTTTTATTGCATTCTTCAGCTGACACTGCAAACTACCTGCCGGCATCTGCCGAAGAAGCTGGCGATTTGTTCTCGGCTTGTTAACCCATTTTGGGTGTGTCTGGGAATGAAGGGCAGTACGATAATGAGTTCCACTTATCACTCTAATGTTAGCTAGTGCTGTGACCATGATTCCCGACAGGGACTAAGCGAGGATGTAATCAGCCTTTCTCTAGGAGCGCTCTACCTGACACAGAAAGCTAATCCCCCATACTTCACTCTCTCGCTCGGTGAGGTCCAAATCTCAAATGGGGCCATGGGCAGTACAGAGCCAGCAATTGAAATGGTTTCACTTGCCTTGAGCGTGTCCTAATCCCGCTTCTTCATGATGTTTATGATGCCCCCAGGTTCAGCGGAGCACCCCCTCCCCTTCACCCCTCGATATCTCCACCTTATCTTTCCCGTCACTTAATTTCAACACTGTCCACTAAACTCTGTGTAAGCAGCTTCTGAGGATAGAGACCAGTTTCTGGGTCAGCATTTCCATCCTGCTATGCTGGGCAGCCTGGTTTTGTTGGGGGTCTCTCCAGTGAGGCCTGGAGGAAAGGAGGGAGCGTCTCCTTTCATTTCTTGCCCAGCATGGATCCAAAAGTACAATGAACTCACACAGGGTCAGCCTAGAGGCAAAAGCCATTATGTCTGCAACAACTGTGCGCTTTTCCGAATTCAAGTGCAGCTGTGAATGAAAAGAGCGAAGAAGGAAAACGCAAGGCCCTTGGGTGACTTGAATGGGGTTCTCGATGGACCTCCTGCTGAGGCACTTTTACAGAATGTGCACACACATTAGAAAGCGCTAGAACAACTCACAAAGCAATTTGTGAGTCGATTGAGTGCATCCTAATTGGAAACCACTTCTCGTTTACACTAGTTTTGACCAATTAGGTGCACTGAAATGAATTTGGTTTTGGTGAAATGGTCTTTGTATTCAGGGAACCAGCAGCAACTAAGCTCGTCTTGCGTTATTCCAAATCGGTGACAGAACTCTCCTACGTGTACCGAGGTGGAAACCGAGCCGATTCTAAACAGGCAGCGTTGTAATCTGACATTTACCGCTGACTTCGAAACGTGTTCATGTAATTACTTCTGCGCTGCAGTTAAATGTCAATTTGTGCACCGAGACCCGATGGGGTTCAGTAGAGTTTTTCCACTGACACACTTTCTCATCCTGTGGAGGAATTTGGTGTTAACAAGAACTAGATCAGCACATCGAGCTTATTACCAGTTCACGCACTGCACTTGGGGCATTTACTTCTTTGTTTTTCTCTGTCTTACTTTCTTTCTGCTTTTATTTTCTCCAGCTGAATGAGTTGTTCCGCAAGTCAGATGTGCAGAAAGACTTCCAGAGTGTCCGTGTGAAGAATCTGGCCCCCAGCAACTCCATAATTGCCTTTATCGAGGTTCACTTTGACCCAGGTAAAGTTACACCAAAGGTTTTTCTTAAAGATTGTTAACTCAAAAAGATCTGAATTGTGCCCAATGATAATGTTTTATGTACACATGCTGTTTGTATCATTTCAGTGGCCAACTCACTATTACCAAATAATCTAACGCAGGGGTGCCAAATTTATCTCCTTGAGGTCCACTGTCCTACAGAGTTTGGTTCCAACCCTGCTCCAACACACATACCTGTAGTTTTCAAATAGTCCTGAAGGACTTTATTAGCTGGATCAGGTGCGTTTAATTAGGATTGAAGCTAATCTCAGCAGGACTGTAGCCCTTCAGGAACTGAGTTTGGCACCCCGATCTAATTGCTCAAACTCCCCCACAAAATTAACACTGAGCACATCTTGTGTAATGGAGGCCAGCTAGTAGCTGTGAAGAGGTGAAAACATGCCTGCCTCCCATGCCGGTTGACGTTCGTTTGAGTCCCACTCCAAGCAGTGCGCATAGGACCAGTTACGTTGGTGCCGTGACCCGGATGGTAGTAAGGTTTAGGCGGGTGCGTGTTACAAAGGCCAGCTAGTAGGATGTGTACAGAAACCTCACACCCCTGGCCTCAAGTGGCATGTTAGTGACTGGCGCTAGAGCCTGCTGTTTTGAGCATCCTTGTTAGCGCACCTGCCTCCCATGCTGATTGACACATTTGTCAAATCTCACAGTAACACTTGACTTGAAAGTTTCAACTGAGCTATATATAGCATGCTATTCCACAATAGTGCAACATCTCTACACAATCCAGGCTCTTTAAAATACAGAAAGTGCTCTTAACTACAATGTGCATTTGGACATATGCCCAATTATGATGCTTTTCTTCATCATTTGATCACCATTGATTAATAACAGTTGCCATTACAACAGACATCTCTTACATAAAATTACATTTACCACCAACTTTCCATGAAAGTGCAACGTTTAATAAAATTGAAAAATAAAATTAGCCTAATTTGCATAGACAATTACAATGTGTTGCACTGACAAGAATATTTGTAACTTAATATAAATATTTCAGTGCATTTATCTGGATTAAACTGCATTGCATGTGCTTAGTGCTTAGTGAAGACTGTTTTTTGTGTTAAAATATGGTACAGTTGAATTTGCCCCTCAATGTTCTTTATTATCTGTCTCCCCCAGTCGTTCTGTTTTTCGTTATCCTGTTTTTATTTACTTTCTTGTTTCAAGCTGCTTCTAATTTATTTCTAAAGCGACTCTAGCATACAAAGCACACAGTCCGACTTATATCCTCCTCTCACATCAAAATTCCCCCAGTCTGCGCTCCTTTAGAAACGTGCCCGCGGCAAGAAATAAAAAGCACATAAAAGCTCCCTTGTATGTTTGAAGAAAATAATAATTCAACACAGCAGAATGAGGCGTATAAGTTAAGTAAAAGAATCCCTGATGATACGGCTCTCGTCTTTTCTGTCTGCCGGAGCGGTCACAAAGTGTGGCCTTTTTAGCGAGGTAATTTATCAGCTTGGGCTTCTGAAAAAGCTCCTTTATTTCAGTCTCCATCGCTTCTCATGCTTTTAAGACCCTGAGCATCACACTAGCTGATAAAAATCTCCTTCGCTATTCTCTTTTTATTGGTCCCCTTCAGCGGCACAAGAGCACTATTCTAGCACAAGCGCCTGTCATAAAGGCAGTCTGTGGTGGCCAGTAACAGGGCCATCTGTGGAAGCGTTATTAGAGTGTTTCATCCCAACGTCCCTGAAATGCATGGAGGTTCAAGAACAGATTCTCCCAAGGGCCTATTACACGCAGGCTTTTCTGTATATATTTGCAGTATGTTATGTCAAGTGCGAGGGTGGTGGGCCTGGTTAGTGCCGGTTCTTCTGTGCAATATGTTCACCTCTGGCTCTGTTTAATGTTGTGTTCTCGTGCTACAGACACAAGGTTCAGTGTGGAGGCTATTGAGGGAGCCCTTCTCAAACAGCTCAAGGCGTCTAAAGACACTGGTATCCTTGTGAAGAAACCTGAGGAAGAGAACATCCGCATCACCACCTATGGTAACCTGCTTGAAATTGCTTTTCCGTCCTTTTTCTTTTTCTCTTGCTGCCTTTGTTGAATGTGATTGCTCGTCAAGCTGACATTTGATAACCACAAGTGCCCGCGGGACTCAAATAACTCAAAAAGATCCAGCTTATTGAACGTGAGACTGTATGTCTCAGCCTCTTGTTTCATTTGTCAAGAATTAAACATGTCTACCCTGACTAAGGCCTGTTGACCTACTTTTTACATCTCCCCATTTTTTAGGCCTTTCAGCTGTTCCTTTCTTCACCACCACCACGACCACCGTAGCGTCAGTCACAACTCCCACCACCACTACGCTGTCTCCCACTTCTGCATTTACCACGCTCCGCCCAACCACCACCAGATGGCCCTTCACCAGCCGCAGGACCACCACAGATGCACCAGCCACCACCACTCCATCCAAGGCCCCCACAACCACAGTCTCGCTGAAGAACAGACTGGCGGTCCACGGCAACAAGCCGTGCGACTCCCAGCCCTGCCGTCACGGTGGAACCTGCGAGGAGGAGGACAATGACTTCACCTGTATCTGTCCTGCAGGAAGAGGAGGAGCTGTGTGCGAGAAAGGTGAGGAGAACTACAAAAACTTGAAAAAATGTGTGCATTGCAGGGACAACTGGGTGAAATCATAGCCAGGTCATATTTTAATGACCCCATAATCAACAGAAAAAAAATATCTTTGCATAATAAAACAAAAACAAATTTTTAGGACCATTTAAGATGTATTTGTTGCATTATTATGTTATTTTCATGAAAATTAAATAAATTTTTCATATCCATTTTTTCTTATACATCTCATTACTGCAATGTGTCTGGACAATTAAATTTTGAGGGTTTTTCTGGAAATTATAATAATGTTCTCAGTGGTGATTTTTATTAAAATGCTTTAATAATATGTTGTTTTTTAATCAACATAAAAGGCTGTAGAACAAATACTACCATGAATACTTTACAGTTTTAAACATTTTAATATATCAGTGTTTTAATAGAATTTATAATATATATGTATTTAAATAAAATAAATAGATACTTTTTTGCATTATGCTAATTTGACTTGTTTTTTAGGAATTGTGTTTTATTATAATGAAAATAATGTCTTAATGCAGAAAAACTAGCATTTAATTTGATTATAATCATTTTCTTCAAGCAAAGTATTGTTTCCTATTTCTTTTGATCTTTCTTTTGGTGTGAAATAAAAACCACAACAGAAGTACACTTGAATATTTCAGATATGTTTGAATATTAATTATTATTAATAATTGATTGCAATTAAATATGTATTTTTTTATTACTGTTATTATTTATTATTAATATTTCGGCATATTTGAATCCTTTGAAGAAGAAGAAAAAGTATTCAATAAGGATTGAATTCAAAATTGTAGCCCTGCTGTTACCCTGAAAAGAAATTTTAGCTCAATTCATTGTCTCTGTTGGTGGTATTGGGATATGAAACTACCTTTTGCAGCTGTGTCAAGTTATAATTGACACTAATTACATCGATGAACTTTAGTTAGTATCAAACCGCTGTGAGGTGAAAAAAGCCACTAATTAAAGGCTTGTAAGCAGCCCTCAAACACTTCCTCTGATCAATCGGGCCATTAAAGAGTGATGAAGAGAGAAGGCTTCATCGGCCTTGCATTCTCCCGAGAAAAGGGTGAGAGACAGCCAAGAGAGAGAGGTGTTGATACATTTCTGAGCATGGGGATTCTCTGTCTGGAATGTAAATGTCTAACTGAAAAAGGTCCAGAGAGAACAACAGTACTCACCGTTGCAGGTCTATGTTTTTTCACCCTAGAGAATAAAGCAAACACAACATGAACTGCACATTACTGTAGTATTGACAGGGGTATCTGCGTTATCTGAGGGAGACACACTTAAGCACACTTTTGTTTGTCGCTCTATCAGTAAAGAGCAGACTGTTAAGGGATTGAAGGCCAGGTTGAGAGCCTCTGATGACCTGCTTTATCTGTCTTCTACCTTCTGCCCTACTCAGTTATAAAGTACTTCATACCATCCTTTGGTGGCAAGTCTTACCTGGCTTTCCGAACCATGAGGGCCTACCACACTGTGCGAATTGCCATGGAGTTCAGAGCTTCGGAAATGACAGGGATATTGCTGTATAATGGCCAAAAGGGCAAAAAGGACTTCTTGTCTCTGGCACTGATTGAGGGACATGTGGAGCTCAGGTAAGTGACCCACATTTGTTATATACTCTAGGGATGGAAATCAGTTCTTATGGCCATTACAGATCCATTAACCATTTTAATTTGTGATTTTTCTCCATGAAGGTTTAACACTGGTTCTGGGACGGCTTCAGTGATCAGTAAGGTCCTGGTAAGACCGGGTCGCTGGCATCAGCTCGTAGTAGTGCGTAACAGGCGTAATGCCATGCTGAGCGTGGACAATGAGCCGAGCGTTGAAGGACAAAGTCCCCCAGGAACAGATGGACTCAACCTGGACACAGACCTTTTCATCGGAGGAGTGCTTGAAGACATGATACCAGAGTAAGAGAAGCTCCAGAACGCCTCTAAATAACACTAACAAGAGCCTCTTTAGTCTTGTTAGAAGCCATAATGAAACAATATGGAGAATAATAACCTAAACCACTGACTGTCTGAGATTGTCTGCGCATGTTTGAAGAAACCTGCCAGAACAGCTAATATGACTTAATAAGATTGAGCAGAAATAGCCAAATCAAATTAGCATCAGTCAGAGATGTTGTGAAACACCACTTGAGTTCTTGTGAGTCTAATTGAATGTTTTTCCATCTGTTCTCAGTCAGGCAGAGAGTGTCTTTTCTCAATTGAGAAGAAGATGTCTTTGTTTTTTAGTTAATCATTTCATGCTTTTGTTACATTTTCCGTGTCATTTACAAATTAAGACGAGCATTAAGGAACTGACAAGAACGGACTTGTTCTTGCAGTGTAAAGGAGAGGACGTCAGTTTCCACAGGCCTGGTGGGCTGCATCCGCATGCTGGACGTCAACAACTTGTTCTATAACCTGCAAGAGAATGGCGACAGCGTTTTGTACGGCTCAGGCGTGGGTGAGTGCGGCAACAATCCATGCATGCCGAACCCCTGCAAGAACGGAGCCTCCTGCCAGGTCAAAGAAGCCGAGATGTTCCACTGCAAATGTGTCAATGGTTTCTCTGGTAAGTGCACCTTTTGACTTTAACATATTTTATTTGAACACTTTCATCGGTTACGCTAGTGTTGTCTCTAAAAACAGATTGCTGTTCCATTTGGTGCCAACAGTGATGCTGAATTGACAACCTTCACCTTTAACTATACACTATTGAATTATAAAAGGTTCTGCAGTCACTCTCTGTTGAGTTCTGAATATCTGGACTTGACTGTATTGATGAAAGATTCAGCAGGGCAGAGGATGCTTGTCTAATCAGTTTTGAGCCTTATGGGTATGTAAGAAAGATGAGTGTTTACCCAATAATATGAAGGCAGCAAGGACAAACATGCAGCGAATACAAAAAATTTCACCAGTCCTGGATAGAAAGTGAATAGAAGAACCATCAATGTTTTCAGAACAACAGACACAAGCTATATTTCTCACAGTTCAATAACTTAAAAAAATGATCGTATTAAACAAAATCAAACATTATTCAGTTAATTCAGAGCCACTTTTGAAGCACCAAACTTCTAACTGAATCTGATCAAGTCTCTCATGGACAGGCAGGGTTTTTCTTGTGTCTCTATTTATTTATTTTGAATAAATGTGTTTAAATTAAACAAAACCTAGCAATACCGTAATATATTATATTATTGTATACTAAATATTTGTAAAAAATATTATATAAATAAATACACAAGAATATGAAATATATTTTTGGGAGAGAAATTAAATAGGATTCATTTTCTTTAAGCAAAGTATTTGGCACACCCATTAAGGCAGGTCTTAATATTTCTAGTGCCAATTTATTCCTAGTACGTAATGCCAATGTTGTGATGAGCATTTTCCAATGTCTGCCACACAAAGTTTGTTCAATCTTCAACCAAATTGGCTCAGGTCATCATTAGACCAAGACTCAAAAAATATGGATTTTTGATTTTCAAAACCACTTGAGTGTAAAACACCGATAAATTTGATGGTGATTGTGCCAAACACAAAGTGAAGCTGTATCTTGGATCTTACTGGGCAATTTTTTATTTTTTTTATGTTACAAGGCAAAATGTATAATGTTGCAAAAAATTATATTCCGAATAATAACAATAGTTTACAACATTACAGTTTTTATTGTATTTTTGAACAAATAAATGCAGCCTTGGTGAGCATAAAAGAAGTCTTCTTTCAAAACATCAAGAAACCATACCAGCTGCAAACTTGTGAACGGTAGTATATATTCCACTGGTGTGCTTGGCCCTGTAATTACTGCATGCAGCTGTATGTTGAACGGTTTCTGGCTTTCTCCTGTATGTCCATCTTTGCTTTCTCACAGCATAAGGAACGGTCGGAATCATCCACACTGTAGAAGTTACTATGTTCTCTTTGTTCACTTTGAAGAAGCTTCTTTTTTTCTCTCCATCTTGCAGTGTTGCTCCAGACATTTGAAATATTGCCCAGAGTAAATTGCTCTGTTGTTCTGCTCACAAGCCTTTATTGAACAACCTTTATAATAATACAGTTCAATATCTTCCACTTTATTTCAGTGCTGCAGAATGGCTGCAATGAGGTGTGTAGGAAAATGAAGACCCTTTGAAGTAGAAGTGTACACAAAGAAATTGGCTAGAGGGATAAATATGTGGGATAACCTTTAATGTTTAAAGAGCAGGATTGTAAGTTGGAGGGTTGTCGCACTGTCTCCGTGATAGTGCGGCCTTATAGTTTGAGAGCAAAAGAGTGAGACACCTAGCAGAGCGTCTCAGAACGCGGCGGGGGCTTTCATTACAGCAAGCAGCAGCTGCCGCCCGTGGCGTGATCCCCTACTATGTTCTTTGTGATGATGGGAGTGTTCTGATGAGGCTAGAAGCACTGACCTGAAGGATTTTCAGTCTCAAACCAGGAGGGCACACAAGCACACCATGCGGCACGGCAGCTTAATCTAAATTTGTAATGATTCAAAATAGAATCCTATTAGAAAGCCTCTACGCTCTTAAAAACAAAGCTTCTTTATTGGAATCTACGGTTCCAGGAAGAACATTTACAGTAACATCCATGTAATCTTTCCATTGAACAAAAAGTGCTTTATAGTGGAAAAAATGTTCTTATTAAAAACATGTTTCACACTAAGAAAAAATGGTTAATATAGGAACTGAAAGGTTCTTTGGGGAACCCAAAATTGTTCTTCTATTGCGTCACTGCGAAACCCCACTTTTGGAACCTTTATTTTTAAGAGTGTGTTTAAGTGGAAATTCAAGTCAGCTTACTCAAAGGCCATCTTTGTAACACTTCTAGGCAGCTCGATTTCAAACTGTTTTTCAAAGTCATGTTTTAATAACATATTTCATATTAGCAATAAAATCTGATAACAGTGGTATCATCAATTTAGCTTCTTTATCTCAAATCATGCTTAAAAACTGTATTTATCACAGTAATGCTATCTTTCAGCTAATGGCTAGTAAACAAACTCTATCAAAAAGGTGATTGACTCTTTTTGATTTGTGAGGCAGTACTGATTGCCGCCATATTAATTTCTCTCATTCATTTCAGTGCAATTAGTTCTTCCTCCTTACACTGTGACTTAACTAGCCAGTTTGTATGAGGATTGACAGGAAGTTGTTTGATTTCTCCCCAAGTGGCTTCTTATCATCTTTTGTTTCACAAAAAATGTCAATTTCTGTTAACAGGTCCTACCTGCGCTGACGCCCACAACCCTTGCGACCCCAATAAATGCCACCCGTCATCGCGGTGCCAGGTCCTTCCGGAGGGAGGTTACAAATGCGAATGTCCAATGGGACGTGAAGGCAAGCACTGTGAAAAAGGTACAGTACTACATCATAGTAAAAATACAGTAAATGAGCCTATCGACTCTCCTAAGAACTGAAATAACTGCTACATCTCAGTTGTAATTTCAGAATTGATTTTTGTCAGGATCGATTGGTCTGACTGGGATATTGGCTGTAGAATCATCAAGGGGGAAAAAAGGCTGCGGTTATGGTGGGGTGGTAAAAGTGAGATTCTCCAGTTGGAGTCTCCAGTACTGTAAAATAGGTTTTACCAGCTAATATAATGGAGAGTCAGCATCTGGGAGGTGATTTGAAATTATTTTCCCGTTTACACTATGTCTGAGATGCCATCCTGAACTGGAAGATCAAACATATGGTGGGTTGAGGGGGGGTGGATTACTCTCCTATGGGAGCTGGACCCTAACCAGGGAAGAGATGCTTCGTTCTTTTGCCATTTCGAAGCTTTCATTAGCACGCTCACTCTGTTGCGTTTCCCTCTCTCACCTCATTAAAATTCCTACAGATGTTTTAGACTGCAAGCATTAGAAAAGGGGAAATTGAGCCAATTAAATTAAGGTTAAATTAGCCTATATAGTGCAATAGTGACCGTCCTCTTTTTTCAGCTGCATTGGTTCTGAAAATATTTTTCCCATTCATTTTCTCCATAGGGATTTTAAAAATGTCTACATTAAAGAATTATAAGCCATGAACCAAACCAAGCAGACGAAGTGAATCACAACATTGCAAACTTTGATTTGAAGCAAAAAATATTTGAAAATTGGACAAAAAGACACAGGCTCATGACTGTGTACTTAACGGCTTAAAGGGATAGTTCACCCCAAAATGAAAATTTTGTCCTCATTTACACACCCTCATGTCATTCCAAACCTGTATGAGTTTCTTTCTCGTGTTGAACATAAAAGAAGATATTTTGAAGAATGATAGAAATACTATGGAAGTCAATGGGGGCCAACAACTTTTTGGTTCATCAAAATTCTTCAAAATATCTTCTTTTGTGTTCAACATAAGAAAGAAACTTATACAGGTTTGGAATGACATGAGGGTGAGTAAATGATGACAAAATTTTAATTTTTGGGTGAACTATTCCTTTAATGAGGAAAAGAATGATTGGTGGAGATTTCTTACAGAATTATGGGTAATGTAGTCTCTCATAAGGATTCCCGCTGTTAAACAATACAAAATAAGTTGAAATACTGTGGGCTTATTCAACAAAAGCATGTACAGTCGATCACCAACCTTGTAGCTCACAGCAGGGTTGACTTTAAAGGTTTATAAGTTATTGTTACAAATTCCCTATGAAGAACATGAAAAGGACTTTTACTTTTGGAACCCGATTGTTGCACATTATATGGCTTCCAACACATTTCTGTCACCATCAAGTCTTTACTGATTGGTTAAAAACTTAATTTTCAGGACTATCAGGACTGTCTGTATCAGCAATACTATTTCAGTATTTTTATGAACAATATGATGTCACTAATAGTGGGCGGGCCAGTTTTTATCATTCACAAGGTACCCCAGGATTGTAGTATGTCATTGCACACACATGCAAGCACCTGTTCAACCCAGAACTGTCAAACGAGAGGGGCCATAGAGTCACCTTTTTGTCTAAGAAAGTCTCCATTAGCGAGTGATTAAAATAAATTGAGGTGAACCAGAATCAATGAGTTGAGCACATCCATCAGACGGAGTGTTTTTTTTTTATCGCTTGAATCAATGAGATGAGTAATTCTATCAGTCAGCTGCACATCATGATTAATGGGGAGTCAGTCGGGCAAAGTGTCCAGGGAGAGTGGCTCTCTCAGATAAGAGACTGTCCAGCCCCGTTTGGCTCTTCTGAAATGAGTAAGTCAGAAACAGGAGAGCGCTCCCTTCTGGACCAGGCCAGAAGGTAAATACATGCAGTGTGCTGAAAGACGGAAATTTACATTACGTAACAGTCTAGTCAGGAAACACTTGACTCGGGAGATACAATATGCTATTGTCTCGGAAGCACTGCTGTCCTAAAGAACAAAGTAATGCGTGATTCATTAATTAGCTGCCATTTGGAAATGAAGATTTTTATAATCAGTGAATAGTGTTTGAAAAATCAATGTGGTGTATTTCAGAGTAATAAATATATGTTCTTATAATAAATATATATATATTTAATAAGAAAAAAGCATCCTAGTTTGCTAAACAAATGCTTAATTCTAATGCTATAAAAACTGTAAATTGTTGTAGTTTAATGGAATATTTCAAAATATATAGGTAAAACAAAAAAGGACCGTTCAGTTGCCAGTAATTTACCAAACAACAGGCCTGTCCTTTACTATTGGATGTTGCCAAGTCCTAAGCTGATTGCAGTACAGAAATAAAGGCCTGTCCTTTGTCACTTTCAATTTTGACTCCTCACTTCCTTGTGGTGTCTGCAAGTGTTGTGTCTTCTTGTACAATAGCGAAGCTGCTGCTGTGTTAAACAATAGCTAATTAGCTTTTTAATCTCAGTCTACCATTCCAGACTGAGCATGCGCTCATCCTGTGTAATTACTGCAGGATGCACGCTGGGCTGAGTGGCAGTGCTATGTGTTGATGGGTGTGAGTGTATGTGTGATCGGATAAGCTATACACTGTCACTGTCTGGTCTCATAATTGGAGGAACATCTCAAACACATTAAGTTATCTGCAAAGCATAATGGACTTTTTCATATTTCTCAGTGTCAGACAAGGGAGGCGCTTTCATTCCTTACTTTACTGGAGATTCTTTCCTGGAGCTCAAGGGCCTTCATCTCTACGGCCAGGATCTGAGGTATTGCATTATATATTGGCTATTGCATTTATTATTATGATGCACATAGTAGTGTTATATTAGTGGTGGTCTTCTGAAATGAGACAAGGACAAAGTCCTCTCCGCTTGTGTTTTTACTTCATTCATGTTAGTTATATTCAATGTTTTTGGGTTAAAGGCATGTTATATGTAAGGATTATTATTAAGAAGAATTATATTTTATTTGAAAGTGTCTTGTATATCAATATTGTGTTGTATATTAATAATATAATAATTATAATCATCATCATCATACAATTAATAATTAAATAAACAACATATAATCATATTTTGTGTATTTGTCACTGCTAACTATTGTTGTTGATAATATTTTAACAGTTACTAAATATCTTATTAATAATACCTTATTTTCAGACTAAGGCCTGGTTTCACAGATAGGGCTTAGACTAAATCAGGATTAGGCCATAGTTTAATTAGGACATTTAAGTAATTTTTATAAACGTGCCTTAGAAAAAACATTACTGGTGTGCATCTTGAGAAATAACAATGGCACTAATATATTTTAAGATCAGTCAGTGTAAGTTTCTTTCAGCTGAAACAGCTCAGACTTACATTTTAGTCTGGGACTAGGCTTAAGCCTTGTCTGTGAAGCCGGGGGTAAATATCTTATTAATAATGCCTTCTTCTCAGACCATTACTCAAAAAATACTTGGTAAACACCACTGGTTTAATTATGCTCTATCTCACTCATATTAGTTCATGTTTCAAGTCATTTCAAGTTCATTAAGATTCGGACATGTTGAATTTGATTCCGAAATTATGTTCAGTAACTTGGTTGAGCTGTTAACTCAGTAATTAGTCCATCCATTTCCACCAATTTTGATGCATATTTGCTGACTGAATGCGAACATTGTTTCTCACAATACTTTTTGCCTGTCTCAAGGAAGAAAACCTCTTTTATGTATCTAATCGAGCTATACTCATTTGTTCACAGGCAAAAGTTCAGCATGACTGTGGTTCTGTTGGCCAATGACTCCAAAGGCATGATCTTCTACAACGGTCAAAAGACTGACGGCAAAGGAGATTTCATCTCTCTCTCCCTGAATGATGGTATCTTGGAGTTTAGATATGACCTGGGCAAAGGACCAGCTGTCATTAGGTAAACAGCACTCTCTATAGTTATATTCAAATGGAATTCAATTATAATTACTCGGCTGTGTTGTGTTCTGTTTCAATTTATCTAACTGTAGCTTTTGGGTTTATTTTCATATTGCTATTAAGAGGGGCAAATAAACATTTTTCCCATCTTTTTGTGTGTGTGCAACAGGAGTAAAGAAAAAATCAAGCTGAACGAATGGAGCACAGTGAATCTGGAGAGGGCCAGCAGAAAAGGAGAGATCAGCATTAACGGCAAAGACCCCGTCAGAGGAGAAGCGCCGGTATGAAAACCCTCTTATGCTGCCCTATAAAGGCCAAAAACATCACCCTTCTTTACAAGAACAAGTCAAACTAGCTGTTCCGTCCCTTGCCAAAAAGTACTGTGATGGTACTTCGATATACAGTGGAGTCCAAAAGCACAAATAGTTTTTTTGACTGAAAATAAAGGAATATTTCAGATTTTTATGTCACTAATCAAATAATTTGTGACACTGATAATATGTCAGATGTTCTTCCGTTGAAGCTCAAAATGTTTTTTGAATCATCTCAAATCATGCTGGAGAACATAATAATTTTTGAGCAGTTCATACAGATCCAGTGCTGCTGTCAGTAAAGCAAAAGAAAGGCAAACAAATACCAAGTTCTAAAATAATTCTTAAATATAAATTTTTTCGAATAAACTTTTTACTAAAGCTCTTATGCTGCGAATGTCAACTGTG